CCCACTGTCTGAGACCGGTACAGGATGGATGCAGCAGGTACAAATGCCCAAAGAAAAATACAACATACACATGTGTTTCCACTTAATTCATTTGCATTCAGCGATCAGGAATTCCCGTTCATCTGTTCCATGGCCAAGGCTTAGGACGCAGTGGCCGTGGGTGATTCAGAAGAGTCCTTTGCTCCGAGGCTTCCTGGGCATTGCATGAAGGCTGACCAACATGGTAAGGGGTAGAATGAGAAACAGGGATGCCTCGAGAGGGACAAGGACTTGACCTTGGCCCAGGGGCCTGGAGAGTCCTCTCTGAAGAGGATGTTTCACCTGAAGCATCCAGGCCTAAAGGAAGTGGAAGCTCTCCTCCAGAACAGCAAGAGGAGGGAGCCACAAGCAGGAGTGGTTAAGGCAAAGGTCTTGAGGTGGAAAAACATCTGGTAGCTCTGAGGACCTGAAAGAAGTCAGGCCTCTGTGACATGCCAAGAAAGGACCAGGGCCTCTTCTGCTCTGTCTTCTATCTGGACCCCCTCTCAGGCTGTCCGCTGTCAGCAGGCCTTTCAGAATTCTGCTCCACAGCCTTTCCTTTTCCACAGCCCACTGAGTGGTGACTGGCCACCAGGCCTGTGCCAGGCACTGCAGGTTTACAGGAGAATAAGGCACTGCCCTGTTCTTAGGAAGACAGACTAACCTTTAGAGTGTGGCAGCTGTGATATGGATAGGCCCAAGATATTCTGGAAATACACTTGAGAGGGAGCGGATCTAGGGCGGAGCGTGGTGGTGAGTGCTTCATGGAAGGCATGACAGGAGAAGGTGGGCGCTGAGCTGAGTCTCAAATGGGTCAGGTAGAGGGGTTAGCCAGAGAAGCTGAGGGGAAGGCATTCACAGGAAGGGAACATGTGTGCACAGTCGTATGTGGAAAGCAGGTGGGGTTTGGAGGACATGTTGCCCAGCTTGAGGTGGGGGTGCTAGGAAGTGGGGGAGTCTGAGGGGAGATGGTAGGAAGTAAGAAGTAGAAAGGCTGCCAGACCCAGGCCCACATGCCGAACAGAGTGTTGGAGTTATGCTCAAGGTCATGGGGAGTCATTGGAGGTCCCTCAACAGAGGAGGGCCAGAGCGGATGCAAGGCTTCAGAAACTCACTGTGGCAGCAGCAGGAGGCTAGACAGGGGACGGGGCAGAGGGCCTCTGTCACCCTCATCTAGGCAGGCAGTGGCACAGGCCTGGGCTCAGCCACATAGGGAGAGGCCAGAAAGGGCTGAACATCAGGGCCAAGGAGGAGATGGCTGTTGGGAAGAGGCCTGGGGCAGAGAGAGGAATCAGAGACAACACCCAGGGTCTGGCTTGGGTGACTGGCTGGGTGGGAAAAGAGGAATACTTGGGGAGTTACATAGCTCATCAAGGGACATGTCACATCAGAGATGACATGGGGCCACCCAGGTGGAGGTGTTGGGTAAAGAAAGGTGTGAGGTCTGAGTGGAAGATGAGATGTGGGGCTTGTGAGTGGAGAGATACGGACATGGTTGGGCCAGGGTGCTGAGGGTCCTGAGGACCTCCTGGAGGTCCACACGGGGGTGGAAGCATCAAGGAGGAAGAGCGGAACAGCAGAGAAGGGGAGAGTAGCTGAGCAGGGCTGGGCTTCCAGAAGGGAAGAGAACAGGAGGCAGGGTCGCTGCCACAGGCCATGAGGCAGGAGCAGCTGGCTCAGGACTGTGTGACTCAGGCATGTGTGGCTCAGGCATGGCAGGTGCAGGTGTCAGGGGGTGGGAGGGGAGGGCTTGGCCAAGAGAGCCTTAAGGAGGCAGAACCATGAGGCTGGATAGACTGGGTGTAGCCCAGAGACTCAAGGCCTGGAGGCTTCCCCAACAGCTGCCTGGCACACAGCTCCCTCCCCAGGGCTCTCACCGCTGCCTCCCTGTGAGCAACTCAGACTGGCTCCTCTCTGACAGCTCCCAAGAGTGGAGACTGGCCCATAGTAGGTGCTCAGGAAAGTCATCACCTGAAAAGGCAAACGAGAGGTGGGAAGTGGGCCGCTGGTTGTCAGGTGTTAGCAGCACATCCCACGTGCATACCCAACAACAGCGGGAAACGCTCCAGGAGGGTACCTCCTGGGAAGAGTTGAGGGAGAAAGGAAATGGGGACTTCTCTGGCCCTGGCAACCCAGGGAGCTGATCTCTCTGTGCTTCAGTTTCCAAACCCTCTCTCTTGCAAGGGTAGAATATAAATGTGCATGGCAGCATTCCAAATGCTCCCAAGCAGGGAAGCCAGGAGTCACTCAGAGTGAGCCTTCTGCCAGGTCCCCAGCCTAGAGGTCTGGGTTGCTCTAGGCCAGCCCCGTGACTGCCATTGGACCTGGGTCCTCCCCCTGCCTGTTGGGTGATGTGCCTCATGGGTAGATTTGTGGCACTCATCTGGGAATGGAGCACAGTGGTTGATTCTGGAAAGGAGCCCACTCCTTCCATTCTGCTGCACTCATTAGGAGTTTAAGCAGTAGCTTTCAGAGCCACTGCCTGCCAACTCAGGACCTTCCAGTTACTGCTGACACAGGACTGAGGAACGACAATCGGCCTGGTGGTCCTCCAAGACAGTGGGCCTTTCCACCTGTTGTCTTGTTCAGTGCTGAACTCACAAAAGGGCCCGTCTTGGGAAACCATTCATGTCTTGGAACTGTTCTGGCACATAACTCAGGCCTGGTAGGTAGGGCACAGCTTGGGGGTCAATGCTCATGGTGGGCCCTGACTCCTCTCAGCAGGCTTCTTGGCCCTTATCAGCAAGCCTCGGTGGCCAGACTTTGTCTTGCTTTGGAAGAAGGAGGCCTGGGTGGCTATTGCATGATGGCCTGGAGGAGGTGACATAGACATGCCAGCGGGAGAAGAGCAGACCCAGCAGAGGCACCTTCTAGACCATACCCTCACCATGAGGGGTGCCAGGGCTGGTGTCCTGCTGGAAACCAGCATCAAATCACCTTCTTTCTTGGAAGGAGGTCAGGGAACTCCCACTGCACCAAAAGCACCTCCACATAGCCAGGCCACGGGTCCCAGTGAGCATGGTCCTCCAGCTGGGTTCTGGCTGGGTGCAGAGCCTACCTGCAGAGAGGATATTTGAGGGACAGAGGAAAACCTCTCAGCCTTCCTGGGTGGCCCAGAGCAGACAGTGTAGGCTGAGCCTGGATCTGAGGGGAGCTAGGCCCCTGGAAAGCTGTATCTGAAAATCTGACATGACCCTGAATGTCCAGGTGTTTGCTTGCTTGGGTGCTGCATGGGACATGATTGAGAAGGCAGTAAGCATCAACTCCTGGGGCTGGGAGACAGAAGAGAAAGCTCACAGCTGATTGGAATCAGTGATGTCAGAGCTGTGTCAGGTGCACACAGGGTTCCACCAGGGAAGTAATTAGCAGGGGATGTATATGTTACGTTAAGTGGGGTCTAGCTAGGCAAGTCTGAAATCTGGAGCACAGGCTGGAAAGTTGGAGATATTCAGGCAGGAGCTGACACTGCATTCCACAGGCAAAATTTCTTTTTCCTCAGGGAAGCCTCCATTTTGCTCTTTAAAAAAATTTTTTAATGAAAAAAATTAATTTTAACTTTTTTGAGAGAGAGGGAAAGAGTGCGTAAGTGAGGGACCACAAACAAGGGGTTCCAGCAGAGTGACAGGGAGAGGCAGGGTCCCCACTGAGTACGGAGTGTGATGTGGGGCTCAATCTCAGGACCCTGGGATCGTGGCCTGAGCCAAAGGCAGTGGTTTAACCGACTGAGCCATCCAGGTGCCGCTAATTTTATTTATTTATTTATTTATTTATTAAAATAATTAAATAAATAATAATTTATTTATTAAAATAATAAAAAAAAATCTCTACACCCAACAGGGGCTTAAACTCCAGACCCCAGATCAAGAGTCTCATGCTCTTCCCACTGAGCCAGGCAGGTGCCTCTCCATTTTGCTCTTTAAGGCCTTTCAACGGATTGGGTGGGACCCATTCAGATTATCAAGGATAGGCTCCCATACTTAAAGTCACCTGGTTTGGGATGTTAACTTTATCTGTAGAAATACCTCCACAGTGACACCTAGGTTAGTGTTTGATGGAATCACTGGGTACTGCTGGGAGGCCAGGCAGACACACAGAACTGACCCATAGCGGGGGTGATCCTAATACCTGCTCCCAGCTGCTGTGAGGAGGAAGTGGAACCATGCACAAGGCCCTGGGCACAGACTCTGGCCTGAAGACATCCAGATAGCAAGTATTTATTTTGAACTGATTTGAGTCTAACTTTGGGCTAGGTGCTTTCCACACACTCTTTATTCTTGAATAGATAGGGTTCTGCAGCCTGGGACTAGCCAGAGGGGTGTGGAGGGTGTGGCCGTGGAAGAGTCCTTGACCTCCAAAAAGGGCCTGCAAAATATTGTCCTGTGTCTTTCACAGCGGAACTGTCTCCTAGCTTTCAATCAGCTCCTAGGAAAACAAAGGACTTGGGGCTAAGCCGCTCCCTGCGCAGTTAGAAGTCCTCCAGCACTGTTTTAAAGGATCCTATCACCTCCTGGTGTTTGCGATCACGTTCTTCTAGACTTGGGATAAAGCCTCCATTTCCACCTCTAATGAATTTTGCAAAACTGTCCCTGACATCTCTTGCAGTGTCTCGGGGAAGGTGTGAACAAGGCAGGGCCGGCATCTTCGCCTCGAGGCGTGGAGGGTGTAAGGTGGCCCGGCGTGGGCGATGGAGAAGGGGGCGCTGAGGGAATGCCGCGCGCGCCGGGCCCCAATGTCCCGGAGCGGCGAGGTGCGGCGCCTTTAAGGTCCGCTGGGGGCGTGCTAGCAGCGGCGGCCGACACTTGGAGAGGTGAGCGCGGTGGCTGATCGGTCGCGCGGCTCAGAGTCAGGGCAAGCCGGAGGTCCTGGGCTGCGCTCCAGGCTCCCACCTCCTCCCCCGACACGCGGGCCGGCGGGGCATGCGCCGCGGACTCTGACTGGGCACCGACCGGGCTCCGGGAGCGCGAGGAGCCGCGGCTCCGGCCATGGGCAGCTTCCAGCTGGAGGACTTCGCGGCGGGCTGGATCGGAGGTGAGCCCCAGCCTGGATGGGAGGGAACCTCGGGAGGTGAGTGTGCTTGCAGGATACGTCCGGGCCAGGGAGAAAAAGAGGGACCCGGCCGAGTTTACAGACCGTGCCATGATACGTCTGGGCGTCCCGCACCCCTGCGCCTCCACCCCGCGCACATCGTGCTCGCCGCCTGCTGCCGGAGTGCTCCACCGCCCCGCGCCTGCTGGCCTCGCTGTCCCTCGCCTGCTGTCCCTCGCCCGCTGCCCCGCCAGTGTCGCAGGTTCCCCCTGAGCTGCGGCCTTGCCTCAAAATGAGGATCCCGAGGACTGTCTCCGGTAACTATTAAACCCGCCGTCGAAGCCGACAGCCAATGGAGCGCCCAGGCGTGCACACACCCTTCAGAGACCGGGTGTGCGCCCGAGTTTGAGGACACAGCTGCAAGAACTTTTGGGTGAGGGTGGCGGTTGTCCCGGGCGCCCGATGGGGAGCCCGGCTTCGCGATCAGGCCGGCCCTAGAGGGCGCCCTGGCTGAAGGGTGCGGGGCGCAGAGCTGGGAGCCCAGCGCCTGGCTTGCAGGTGCCCATTGCCAGATAGGAGGAACCCTTCCAGTTTTCAGCTTTTATCCACTGTCCGGTTTCTCCTCCTGGCCGTCTTGGAGCCATTTTTCCTTTGGAGCCGCTCCTGGAACCGGTGTCTGCTGGGCCCGGGATGGGTTTGCTTGGGCAAGAGTTGCCTGCATTTCCTCGCTTCTCTGATCGTCTCTTTACAGTAGGTTTATTTCTCTACTCTTATCAGCTACCACTGGGGCCCGGGGAGGGGATGAGAAGCACTAGCACTTACTGTAGAATGTTATCTTTCTTTTGGCCCCATCTAAGAGGATCCTCAGAAAAGGGATGTTGGCAATTGCAACCTCTGCCCAAAGTCAAAAGCAAAAACAAAACCAAAAACCTGAGGTGCTGAGGCAGAGGCTATAATTAGTATGTTTGTGCCCCACCAAGTGTTCTGGAAATGGGGACCAGGAGATTTATAGGAAAATGAAAATGAAACATAAAAAGAACAACAGACCAGATAGCATTCCAGGATCCCTTTCTGATGGTTCCGCCTGCCTTTGACCCCCAGCACGTGGCTGCAGGGCCCCTGCTTCTCGCTGTCATGAGCACAGGTGGTCCCTTTCACCATAAGCAGTTCTTTTGTACAGGCCGTCTAGACCTTCCTCTCCTAACCTCACCATGGGGTCAGGGTGCTACCCAGGGTCCCACTGGCCCTATTCAGGCCCTCTTTGGACAACCGTCAGCTATTCTGGGGGAGAGCCGTCCCTACTTAAGGCTGTACCCTTACATAGCCAGACCAACTTCAGAAGGGCTGTCCCTGGCTGGATTTGAGGGTAAGGCTGTCCGAGTAGCTACAGGTCTCTGATGATCCTGGGACCCTCCCCAAGTCACACAGTAACTAGTGGATTGTCCTTTATTCTGCGAGTTGATGTTATCATTTTGTTGTTGTCTTTTGATTTGGGGGTTTTCTTGCTTCCCTGGAGTGAGGATGAGGATCATACCTGAATGCTGAGTCAATAGCAGGTGCTGTTGAAGGGCCACAGGTAATTTTAAAATGACTTCTCTGAGGTTATTTTGTGCATCAATTTTGTATACAATTCGGTGATTATTAGCGACCTTACCAGTGGTGCAGCCATTACCATAAATTCGTTCTAGCACATTTTCTTCCCCAGTAAGATCCCCATTCACAGTTAAGTTCCGTGCCCTCCTTCTGCCTCTGGGCAACTTTCTGAATCTACTTTCTGGCTCGATAAATTAGCCTTTTCTTGGCATTTTATGCAAATTGAATCAGACAGTATATGGTCTCATGTCTGTTGGTGTGTATTTCTTTGTAGCCCCAGTGAGGTAGCTACCATTATTACATCCTCATGTTACCGACAAGGAAATGGGTGTACAGAGACATTCAGTGACTTGCCCAAGGCCGTGCGTCCAGCTGAAGCCCTGGAATTCCAACCCACACAGCCTGGTACCAGAGCCATCCTAACCCCTGTACTCATCTCTAGCTGTTTTCCTTCTTAATGAACTTGCAGGATAAAATTCCACCATGACATCCTTTACATTTTGTTGGAAGTTTTACTGGTCTGTGAGGCCCTCAGGTCTGGAAACCACTGACCTGATGGTCCCATTTCTGATCTTTGTATTCCCTGCTTTCAGATGCATGGACTAATGAATGACCAGGGAGATACATGTCCTAGGGGCTCGGAGGCTGCTTTCCTGGGCTAAGGGATGCCCATAGTGAAGCAACTAGAATCTGGAGACCAGAAGTCCTTTCTTCCCTGCTGGGAGGGGCTCCTATAGAATGAATACTCATTTCCTTCTGCCTCTCACCTTTCTGCCTCCTCCCACTTCTGTGGGAAGAAGGGACTGAGAAGGGCCTGGAGGTTCTAGACGGAGCACATGTCTGTTCTGGGGTCAGCTTGTTCCTCTGCCCCTCTACCCGTCTCATATTCCAGGACTGCCTTACCTGGTTAAATCACCCATGCGGACAGAAAGGCTTCATTCCTCATCAGCGGGGCAGGGAATTTGTTCAGGCCTTTGCGACTGTGTGTGCAGATGGGCATTTTTCTGTGAGAAGAAAAATCCAGAGATTCCATCACCATGTCAGAGAAGCCTTCTTAAAAACAAAAACATAAACAAAAAACAAATTTAAAAAACCCAACTAAAAGTGGATGGTGACAGCCTATTAGAGCCAGAACTCTGCCGGTACTTGACCTTCATTAGCTCATTTCATTCTTGCAATGGAATCATGAGGTAAATGCTAATATGACTCTCACCTACACCTGCTAAAAGTGAGGTCTAAAAAAAGTGAAGTAAACTGAACCATAGGTAACCAAAAAGTTTCCGGGTTTTCTCTTCACACCCTCCCCCCCTTTTGAGGCACCAATCACATAACCTAGAAATAATCATTTTCAAGCATCCGATTCAGTGGCATTTAGTGCATTCACGGTGTCGTGCACCTGTCAGCTCTGTCTAGTTCCAAATTTTCCTACTGCCCAAAGAAGTCCCTGGATCCATCAAACAGTCACTCCCATTTCCCCTCCCCTCAAGCCCTGACAACCCCTAACCAGCTTTCTGTCTCTGTGGGTTTGCCTGTTCTGGATAATTAGAGTAGATGGAATCAGACACCCTGGGACCTTCTGCGTCTGGCCTCTTGCACCCTTCCTCCACACTGTAAGGGCATCGGCACTTCATTCCCGTTGATGTTCAACAGGATTCATTGCAAGGATTTACCGCATTGCATTGCATTTACCCACTCACGTACTGATGGACATTTGGGCTGTTTCCACCTTTTGGCTGTTGCGAATAGTGCTGCTGTGAATATATGTGTTCGTGTACTTGTTCAGTGCCCGTGGTCCGATCTTTCAGCTCTCTATCTAGGAGTGGAATTGCTGCGCCATATTGTGATTCTTTGTTCCACTTCTTGAAGAAATGACAAACCGTTGTCACAGTGGCTGCAACATTTTACACTCCCACCAGGAATGAGCAAGAGTTCCAGTCTCCATATCCTCACCAACACTTACTGTTTGCCTTTAAGAAAAAGAAAAAAAACAATAACAAACAAATAACTGTAGCCATTCTAATGGGTATGAAGGGGAATCTCCCTGTGATGTTGATTTGCATTTCCCTAACATCTAATGGTTTTAGACATCTTTTCATGTACACCTTGGCCATGTGTATATTTTCTTTGGAGAAATGTCTCTTCCCATCCTTTGCTTAAAAAAAAAAAAAAAAACAGAATGGTGGGGCACACCTGGATGGCTCAGTTGGTGGAATGTGAGACTCTTGGGATCTCAGGGTTGTGAGTTCAAGCCTCATGTTGGGCATGAAGCCTACGTTTAAAAAAATACTTTTTTTTTTTTTTTTTTTTTTTTTAGTTTTAAGTATTTCGTATAAATTCTGGATACAAGACCCTTATCACATGTATGATTTGCAGATATTTCTCCCCATTCCATAACTTGTCTTCACCTTCTTGATAGTGTCCTTTGCTGCACACAAAGTTTTAATTTGTGTGACATACAATTTATTTTTTCTTTTGTGACTTGTGCTTTTGGTGTTCTAAGGATCTGTTGCCAATCTAAGACCATGAAGTTTTTTCCCCTGTGTTTCAGCAAATGATTTTTATCGTTTCAATGCTTCCATTAAGGTCTTCAGTCTCTCTTGAGTTTGTTTTTGTATATGGCATGAGGTAGGGGTCTAGCTTCATTCTTAAGCATGTGGATCACCAGTTGTCCCAGCAACTTCACTGCCCTTTTTTGGGGGTGCTTGTTTCTTGAGGCAGGGCCCAGGTTTTACTTCATTTTCTCTGCCTTCCTCAGTGACTGGGCCAGTGCCTAGCACATTGCAGTGGGTCGGGGGAGGCTCTGGTAATTGGGCATTGACTGAATGAGTGAATGGGAGTGCCCAAGCTGTTTGTCTTATCCCAAGAGCCAACTGGTACATGTGAGGAATCCAGCGGTCAGTGACCAGGTCTTCTTCTTTGATCAACAGGTGCAGCCAGTGTCATCGTTGGCCACCCTCTAGACACAGTCAAGGTACTGCAGCCATGTTTGCCTTTACCTCTTGGAAAGCGGCCTGGAGTGAGTCTGCCTCCAGGAATGCGTCTGCCTTTTCTGATCCCAAGACAGTCTCCAGCCCAAGGCAGATTCTCTATGCCAACCCTGGGGGTGGGGGTGGGGGGGGGGTGGGGTGCTAGGAGGACTGGTTTGGAATCCTTGCTCTCCTCTGGTTACTTGGCAGTGATTTTGTTTTTGTGAATGTTGCATATCTGCCTCCAGCTTCTCATGGGCTGTGAGGGAGGGAGCCAAGGCAATGCTAAGTATCCCTTGCCAGTCCCTGTGCAACTAAGGAACAAGAAAGGCTTCAGGCGTGAGGTGGCAGCTGAGTCCAGAATTTAAGGTTGGGTTTCAGGTGATGAGAACAGATACTCCAGGCTAGAGCTAAGGCACTGAGGTAGGGACACCGTGTGCAGGTCACGCTTGGGAAAAGCCAGCATGGCCAGTTTGGCCGATGCAGCGGGTTTGCGAAAGCTGCTCTAGATCAGAAGCCAGGAAAGGTGGGTCAGCACTCCATCCTGGGAGGCCTTCACTGTCAGAGCAGGTCTGTGGACTTGGGTTGGGAATGGGGAGCCATTATAACTCCAGGAGGTAGGGGAGGTTTGAGGACCCAACACGGCCTTCTGGCATGGAGCTCATCCACGCCCCTTGTTCTACAGATGGAGAAGCTGGCCCAGGAAGGGCAAAGGGCTTGCCCGAGGTCATGCCAGGTGTCAAAGTATTGAGGAGTGAGGGAGTGAGGCGCTCTACAAAGGGACATTCTTTGACGCCACCCCCATTGCTGCCCCCTGTCCTCAGTGGTGAACAGGACTACAGAGCCATACCTTGGGGCATGGTCTCAAATAGTGCCTTCTCACCCTTGACTTGCACAGTCATATCTAAAACTTTGCCTGGATCGTGCGCTAAGACAAGCTGCTCTGGCTCTCGCCAAATGGCTGCTATGATCACACACCGGCCTCCCCTCCATCCCCTGCCCTGTCTTCCTCCCTCTCTGACAGCGGGCCCTCTAGGTCAGAGCCTAGGCCTGCTTTTTTCTTGATGGGGATCAGCCCCATATGGGCCTTGCTTCTTCTCATACTTTCACATACTGGACACGTTCTGTGTGTAGACGGTATGTGGATAGCAAGGCATCAGTGGTAGACCAGGCAAATCCAATCCCTGCCCCGTGGGCCTTCCAGCTACATTTCTGGCACAAGCTGCCTCTTGTGTCTCTCTGGTAGAGCATCCTTCCCTTAACCCTCGCCAGGCCAGGGGCTTGTTGAAGGTGCCCCCTCCCCACAGAGGCAAGTCTGGCCACCTGAAAAGGCTGGAGTGCTCCTCCTCCTGTCCTCTCTGCCCCTGGAGTCTCTGAGGGAACCCTTCCTGATATGTCAAATCCAGTCTCTGCCCAGCCTGAGAACCTCCCCGCACAGGGTACCAGCCTGGTGATGCCAGCTTACATGGCTGGCCTGGTCCCAGCCCAGGGATGTGGCCCAGGGCCCTTGTTACTCCCCAGAACATGCTCCTTCCTTTCTTCTGGCTTACATTTTCTCTGGAGTCCCTGTCTTAGAAAGGTCCGGGCAAGAGCTTTAGAGTCGGAATAATCTGGAGTGCATTCTCAGCCTGTCCACCTACTCTCCTGTGACCAGGGTGCAGCACTTTACCTCCCCGAGCCTTGCTTTCCTCATCTGAAAAATGGGCAAAGAGCACCTCCCAGCAGGGCTCTTGTGAAGATTGTCCCTGTGGCACAGAGTCATGAGTGAACCGTTCCCATCCTGATGAACCCACAAGCTTGTCTTGTGTTGCAAGTGCCTTGGGACTTGTCTGAGGTCCCAGAGCTTGCCACAGGAAGAGCCGAGCTAAAAACTCCTGCGCTGCTAACCTAGGTCAGAGGCTCTTTTCCTGCCCATGGCTGCCCCATCACTGGTGGGAGGGCCAGCCCCTGGCTGCACAGTGGCCCTGAAGCTGGGATCCAGATTCTCACCTGCCTCTTGGCCCAGCTGGTGCATTTGGGGTGTATGCCTGATGCAGTATGCCCAGGACTTCCTGATCAGGGCTCAGCTGCCTTTAGACCAGCAGCAAACTGGTAAGGGAATGAAATATGCATGTGGTAAGCCGCCAAACTTGTCATAATTTGTCACGGCAGCAGTAGGAGAACTAATACAAGAAGTCAGCTTTCTCCATCTGTAAAACGGAGCGAGTGTTCGGGCTGCATGGCATTTGTGGGATTCTGTGAGATAAGCTCTGGAAGAGGCCCCGTACTTCCCCAAGAACGCAATTGTTGCAACTAAATTCCAGCCCCTGTTGTAACCGAGGCCCCAGAGGCATGTGCCATGCACCTGGCCTCCGTGGCAGCCTTCCCAAGGGCTCAGTATGGCTGGGAGACCTTTGCTCCATGGTTTTAAAACTCCTCTGTGACCTGGGATTGACTCCTAGGTTGAGCTTCCTCATGTACGATTTTTTAGTAACTCGGGTCCTCGAGTTTTTCAGTGGAACTTGAACCTTCTTGGGGATTCAGTCCCCAGAGGCAGCCCTGCCCGCACTGGGGCCAGTGGAGAGTATCCCCTCCACACCAGCCTTAAATAGGGGAAAGAGGGAGGCCTGTGCTCAAGTCTCCTCACCTACATTCTTGTCCTGGTTGGGAATACCCCACCCCAAGGTAGAGCTCTGTGGGTCTGCCCATTCGTGTGAGCCCGCTTCTCATCTCTCTGCGCCTTCCCCCATGTCTTCACCTCCAGATGGTTAAATACTGCATTTTCCCTCAATCAGCCCACACTTCTGACCCCCAGGTCTGTTTTGCGCCATGGTACTTGTCCTCAGCAGACCTAGATATTTGCTTGGGAATTACCTACTATTGACTCTTTTTTCCCCCCATCCCCACTTAGTTCTAAGTTCCACGAGGCCAGGAGGTTGGTTTCCTCTACTGCTGAAAGTCTCCTGAGAGTGGAACAGTGGCTGTTGGAAAACAGGCATTCAATCGTACTGGTTGAATGAGTCACCTGCTACATTTCTTTGATTATGAAAGTAACAGTTATAAAACATACACTACCATTTACCTGTCCTGCCTGTGAGAGTGCTGTGGATTTCCCATGGCCATTGGGGTCTCTAAGCCCATGGAGATGAATGCCTATCAAGCTCGTAGCCATGCTGTTAGCCATGCTGGTTAGCTCAGGCAGGGGGGCAGGGTGGATTGAGGAGGGAGAATGTTGAATTTTTTTTTACTAAGAAAATTTATTCCCATATTAGTTGTATGCTTAACATTATTTTTAAATAATATAAATTGAAAATAATGAAAGTAACCCTTGTCTATCGTAAGAAAGTCAGACATGAAACACCGTTCAGGGCAGAAAAAACATTTCCTGTGATTTTCACCTCAGAGACCACCACCTTTATGATGTGTGTTCTGCCAGAGTCTTTGCTCCTTGTCTACACGCTGAGCTCAGGCTGTTAGTGTGATGTGTTAGGCTGCACTCTGGGTCTTAGTCCTCAGGGACCCCTGGGTTCTGGTGGGCAGGGTGCAGTCACTGCTCCTGTGGTTCTTGGAGTTCCTTCTTACCAGGCTCAGAGGGGGTGCCCTGACACTTTTGTGAGCCTCCTCAGACTCTCCTTGCCTGTCTACTGATGCCCCTGGTCACGAGAGCCAACTTCCAATAGAGGACACCATGTCTTCCCTTCTAGTCCCTCATTTAGCCGGTGCAAAGGGGATACATGCCAGGGCCATGCTCCACATGGGGACAAGAGGGAAATGTGAGACAGCCCAGACAGAGAGGGGGAGCCCAAATAAAACCAAAGTAAACAGAGATATGACAAGCTCAGACACAAAGGATAAGCAGGAGCTGAAGGAAGAGCCTTCTGGGGGAAGGAAGAGCCGGTGGAGAGTTCAGGCAGGGTGCGGGAGGGGAAAGTGAGGCCAGGGATTGGGGGATGTACCACGTGGTGGGCTCAGAGGGCAGGGGCATGGAGGAAAGGACATGCAGGGGTGAGAGGCAGGTCTGGTGCCAACCCAGGCCTCATTGACACTGGTAGAGAGTGGGGGGTTTACTCTGAGTCTGGTGGGAAGACACCAGTGAGCTGTAAATAGCGATCCGCTCTTGTCAGAAGTGATCAGTGTGACTATTGTGTAGACGCAGGCCAAGGGCTGAGAGGGAGCAGGAGCCAGTGGGGAAACCGCCGGCAACCAGCGCACCATCCCCGTGAGAGATGAAGGGGTTCTGGAGCTACGAAGGGCGGGTCACTCAGGGAATACTTAGGATGGCAGAGTGATGGGCAGCGGATGGGGCAGAGCCCTGGAAAGTGTTTGCACTCAAAAGGCGGGGATCATGTCCCCCAACAAACATCGCTTTCAAACAACAAAGAGACTTTTGTTCTTCTCTCAGCCCAAGAGTGCTTCTGCCACACTCAGCAAGGCCTGAAGGGGACATTGAAGGAGGCAGTGTTGGCAGAGGACGCTGCACCAGCCTGGCGGGGACAGAAATCCTGCCCTCCTTCCTGGCTGGGCCAGGAAGGGCCTACAGGGCCTTCCCCTCTCTGGGCCTCAGTGCCACAAGCCCGTGCTCTCTGGGGCAGTGGGGATGTGCACCATCTTGGCTTGGGCCCTCACCTCCTCGCATCTCTCCACAGACTCTCCTGCAGGCCGGCGTCAACTATGAGAACACCCTCAGCTGCATCCGCACGGTGTACAGGAGGGAGAGTGTAAGTGCCTCCAGGACAGGAGCTGGAGCTATCCCCCTCAGGGACTCCTGCACACAGCTTGAAGCCTGCCCGGGGCCTGGGCCCTGCGGCCAGAACCCCGACACCAGCCTGTCAGGCTGGAGGTCCATTCATTCCTGCTCATCACTTCTGGCTCTATGTTGCCTCTTCTCTCCTCGTCTCACACCACACCTCAAATATTGTATGTCCCCTAAACTTAACCCAGCCATCTTGTGTGCTGTTACTGGGGGGTGGGGGCTGATTTTGTGAAACCTCTCTGGAGAAATTCTGAGGAATTTAGAATCACAGAGTAGAAAATTCCTGCAGAAACAGGGGGACATGTCAGTTTTCAGAGCCAAAGGTGAGACCGGTAAACCGTTTGCTCACAGGTGTCCCTTCACCTGGGGTGGTGGGAGCCAGGCCCTTGGGATTCCAGATGCCCAGAGCTGGCTTGTCCCTCAGGTTGCTAGAAGGCAGGGGACCTAGGATTTTCCTTCCCAAAGAGGAAAATGCGAATAATATTTTGTGGAAGATGTATCATGTGCCCTTCTTAAGAATGAGCGTGTGCTTTCCAAAGACTTTCTAAGGCCCTGCTTTGGGGAATTTAAAATACATTTTCTAATTAATGATGAAATGACTTGATGATTTAAAGAAATCATTGATAGCAGCCCTGGGCTTTCCCTCGAGTACCTGGAAATGTGGCCTTCTTATCGACCACCATCTCCACAGCCTCCATCCTAGCAAGTGCCCTGGGGCTCAGGAGCCTCCTGCCTGTGCCCGGACCTTTTCCTCAGAGGTGTGTTTTGTGTCAGGGCATTGCTCAAACTCTCTTGCTGGGCTGCTTTACAAAGGACTACAAGCTGTTCGGGGTGGTGTGTGATTCCCCAGTTCCCTGAGAGGTGGCCCCTGATTCTGCTGTTGGGCACACATTCTCCACAGTGCCTGCCAGCCCCAGCCGCACCCCTCCCCCCTGCCTCTGGGCCATTTTGTGGGGACTGCAGGTGTTCCTTGGAGACACAGCACCTCAAGGCTGAGTGATGTCCCACGTTATCTGAGGAAGATTGTTTTGGAAGAAGAACCTGAGGTGGGGAGGAGGTGTGTGTGCATGTGTGTATGCATGCATATGTGTGTGAAGTGGTGTGTGTGTATGTGTGCGGTGTCCTACCTCTGAACCAGGTCAGGATTAGCAGGTTTGTGGGCAACCTGGAGTTGGTATAATAGCTTCCTGGTACTTTTTCATTTTTGGCATGGGGCTGAAAGTGCTGCCCTGACTCCTTCAAGGGCCTGTGGAATATTCCAGATTTCAGAGGAGTGTCTATGATGTTCCCTGAGAGTTCAGTGTGGAAAGGACCCTCTCCTCTCAGACTCCAGCACCCTCTGCTGTGGTCTCTGCTTATGTGCAAAGGAAGCCTCTTGGTGCTGTCTTTCTGCAGCTCCCTTCCCCTCAGACCCTTACCACACCCTTAACAGGTTGAATTTTAATCACCTGTCAGTTTATCTGTTGCCCCCTCCCCTCTCCTACCCCCAGATGTGGGCTCAGTTATGGCAGCAAGTATTTCGTTCTTACAGTTGGCCCCCAGGGCCTGGCCCATGGCAAGTGCCCTAGAGAATGCTTTTGGTCGAGTGGTAAATGAGGAAGTTACGTGGGGTGCTCGGCAAGTCCACCACCCATGAGGGCTCCATGCAGCCTGATAGCTTTCCAGCCCAAGAACACTGCCACACTGGTGGCAAATATGGGTTCCAGGCCCAGGGCACCTGGACTCAGGAAACAGAACTGCCTACAGAAGTGGGTTCCTCCCTTGGGCCAGATTGTACCTTGTGGGGGAATGGAGAGCCACCCCTCACTCACCCACCTGGTCCCTCCCATCACATCAGCAACCTTTTTTTTTTTTAATTCTTGTCTCCGACATGATGATTTAGTTTTCCCGTGCTGTCACCTCCCCAGCCTGCGGGCTCCAAGAGGGCAGGGTCTATGCCAAGCACCATGTGGGGAGCCTGGCACCTGGCCTGCAGACAGCCCGAGGCCCTCATGCTCCTGCCCCCTGGTTTTCCCACAGGTGTTCGGCTTCTTCAAGGGCATGTCCTTTCCCCTTGCCAGCATCGCTGTCTACAACTCGGTGGTCTTTGGGGTCTTCAGTAACACGCAGCGGTTCCTCAGCCAGCACCACGGCCGGGAGTCCGAGGCCAGCCGGTCCCGCACACTGTCTGACCTTCTCCTGGCCAGCATGGTGGCCGGCGTGGTCTCCGTCGGGGTGGGGACGCCCGTGGACCTCATCAAGATCCGGCTGCAGATGCAAACGCGGCCGTCTCAGGAAGGTAAGGGGGGGGAGGGGCCTGGCGTCTGGGCACCAGTGGCCCTTCCCTGGTCCGCCAGATCTGGGATGCGGCTGCTTGTCTCCTTTTTGTTGAGCAGAGTACCTGCGTTGTTGTCTAAGAGTCTGCAGTTAGCATTTTGATCAATTGTAGTAAACAGTCATTAATTATTTATTCCATGCCAACCACCTGCTTAGTGTTCTGGGTATGCTCTTGTCATTGGTCTTCCTAACAGTTCTGTAAGGCGGGTGCTATGACCATGTCCATTTTACAGGGGAGAAAGTGGAGGCTCCTGGAAGTGACGACCCTTAGACAGGGCCACACAGATAATGAATGACTGGTGGGTGAGGACCAGTGGACCAGTGGCATCATTTGTGGTGTCCAGTGCAGAAGGAAAACGGGGGACTCCTTGTTAAAAAATGATTAAGAATTTTAGAAGAGCAACCCAGAGCATTAAATCAGGGCTGGAGCCCTGATGGACTCATGGGTCTCAAAACCACAACACCAGGGAGTGTGCTGGGAGGCCTCACCCCTGCACCACCTGTGGCCGGGGTGAGGGGTCGTTCCTCTTCCCCTCCTTGACATTCTGGTTGGAACTTCATTTCTTGGTGTGTTAAACAGTCCTCCTGAACTACAGGCTGAGTGTGTTACTTCCTTCGTCTTGAGAGAGGAGTGTCTGTGTCTGCTGTGCTTTGCCTAAAGGAGGATGGAAAGAATGGGAAGGTGCTTGCTGTTGGGAGTAGAAGGTGCCAGCTCTTGAGAAAGGATGAGCTGGGGTCTTAGACAGATTTCACTCTCTCCAGGTTTGGTTCTTGGCTCTGATGTCACTCTGTCTCCTCAGGCAAGGCACTGCTCCTGCCTGGGCCACCGTCTCCTGTCTGCATAAAGGAAGGGCTGGATTTGTGGTCCTTCCTGACACCTCAGTTATCTGATCTGGGCTGACAGCTCTTGTGGACAAGACCCCTCTTGCTGGCAGCCTTCTGAGTGGGCTGCCTTGAGCCCTCTGCCCACAGAGGCCAGGCTCGGCTGGGCTCATCTGGGTTCTGCAGCCAAAGCCCAAAGAGTGCACTTGGGAGCTTTCCAGCCCAGCAGCTCTCCTGCCCCTAGCCCCAGCGCCTTGATTCAGCCTGCATATCTTGCCCGGCCCAGGAGGTTTCCAGGACAGGACTGCATACCCCCTGTTGCTGCTCTCCTCACTGGGGCCCGTGGAGAGCCTGGGGCCAGCTGCCCTAACATGTCGGGTCATGCCTGAGGGACACTAAGTGGTCACTGTCAGCATGTGGGGTGACACGGGACCCCAGCAGGCTGGCTCAGCCTGAGGGTCGCAGCATACCGTCTTTGGGGCCACTCAGAGAGATACAGGGCAAGGGGTTTCCACATCCCTCTACTCGACATACTGAGCCATGTCCTGGTATAGTTTAGTTTCACCAAAGGGTGACACCTCATAGAAGTGTTTGAAGCTCACTGATCTGGTCCCGTCCCAGAGACAAAAGCAAACATGTTGAGGAATGAAGGGCGTCATGAGCAGATTGAGAACGAGGAGGCCTGGCCCCCACGTTCACATTTGGCTCTGTCCCTCTCTCAGAAAAGCTTGTGTCAGTCTCAGGTGTGGAGGAAATCTCTCTCCCTAAGTCTTCAGACACTTTGGGTCCAGATGTTGGAAGAATTACCAGTGATGGGTCTCCTCTGCTCATAGCAGACCTGCCTCCTTCACAACCTGACACTTTGACCCTGGAAGGGGAGGAAGAAGGGGAGGCATGCATTCATATATTGGGCGAGGTGAGGCACAGTGAGCCTGGACACCAAAGGAGATGTTTCTCAAAAAAACACCTTCCTTATAAACACCCGGGACAGTTGGAGGTAAATTAATTGATTGTATCCTCTGTCCTGTCCTCCTTCACCCCTGCCTTCCCTGCAGAGGGTGCTAGAATGGTAACTAACTTGGCAGGCGGAGGCCTGAACTACAAGGAATCCTGAGGCTAGACTAGGAGCCTCTGGAGCTCGGAAGAAGGATGGGAGGCTGTCAAAGAATGGGTAGACCCAAGAAGGGTCCCAAAGCTGGGTGTGCAGCAGCAGCCAATGTTAGGGACATGAGCAGTCCCCATCGGCAGCTGCTAAAACTGCCAATCCATTCACCATATGCCCGATACTTAATACCCATAACAGTACCATCAGGTCTTCTTGGCTGCTAGCCCTGTTCGTTTATCCAATGTGCTATGTATGCACCTGCTATATGCCAGGCACAGAGCTAGGTGCTAGGGATGCAGTGGTGAAGAAGTGTCTACATCCTATCTGTCCTGTAATGCTCTTTCCAGCAGAGAGCAATTGGGCAACTCCAGATGTGGTGGTAGGGGAGGAATCAGGACAGGCTGGGGGTCAGGAAGGGCTTTGGGGCAGGTAGAAGGAGGGTGGAGGGATTGTTGCAGATCAGGTCTGTGCACATGCTCATGGCTACATTGAGGGTTACCCCTGCCTGCTTGCCAGGGCCTGAGCAGTTGTGGAGAACAACTGCCTACCTGGGAAGTCCAGATCCTTCTGGGGCCTCATTTCCTGGATAAGCTCTCTGAGCAGTGAGAACACGAGGTTCAGGGTACTCTCCCTGCCCTTGCCACCATAGGAGGCATTGAACAGCGTCCGAGGAGGGTGAGTTCCTGGCTCTGCTCCTGTGTGGGTAGGCCACAGTCCGTGGCTTTAGGTTGTCAGTTCATCATAGTGCCAGAAGGAAACTTGTCCTCTTTCGTCAGTGCCTTGAGGCAGCAACAAAAAATGAACATGTGTTTATTCTGTCCTTTTCAGTGTGCCAAGAACTGGCCTTGTGTGAACTCAGGGAAGGCTCTCAACAAGAAGCCAAGGGAGGTTCCTGCAGGCCAGGGTTTCTCAGCCCTGCTGAGTTCTAAGTCATTAGCACCTGGGCCCAGCTGTTTAGCAGGCAGCTAGAGACAAAGACCGTTTACCCAAGCAAGTGCAGGGAGAGTAGAAATCAAGAGTGGAGGGTCCACCTGAGCTGTGTTCCTCAGGCCTCTGATCTGGGTGAAGCCAGGTCACAGCAGTGGGGGCAGAATAGCCAGTATTTACTGATCCCTTACCCTGCGCCAGGTACTACGCTAGGAGCTCTGTAAGTGTTTAATCTTTCTAGCAACCCAATTCCTAGACATTAACAAAGGGGAGCCTGAGGCATCAGCAGCTTCTGTAGCTGGCCTCGGGTCACTCCCCTAATGGGAAGTGGAGCCGGGATGGAGCCCCAGGCTTTCTGACTCACGGCCCACTGATGCTATTTCTGCTTCTGCCCTGGGATTTTGAGATGATGGCAGCTTTCGTAACACCTGGGCCTTTGCACAAACTCATCCCAAATCCGGCTTCAAATGGGAAGGGAGAAGTAGGCTGGGAACATGTCTCCAAAATAACATTGTTCAGGTAGTGGGCATAGCTCTTGGATTCCCAGGGGTGGGTCTGAATGCCATGGCTTTGGGCATCCCCTCTCTGCCTGACCTGTTGTTCCTCACCTTCCACCCCAGCTGCTTGGGGGAAGGTCTTTGGTGGCTGGGCAGGATCACTACTGGGGCTGGAGGAGGGCAGGTAAGCAGTGCTTTCTGCCAGGAATCTTCCCAGGAAGGGAGAAAGGATGTGGTTTTCTTTTACTTGTCCCTCAGAGACCCTCTAGGCCAGAGATGGAAAGTTCAAAGACTCACTGGGACCAGGGAGGTAACATAAGTAAGTAACTTCTTCCATTTATTTTGACACTCACAGCCCTGCTAACCCGCATCTCACTTTTCCTCTTCAAAATGTGAGCATAAAATACGTTTCACTTCCCTATGACTCTGCTGTTACAAAAGCAGCAGGTCCCACACGTGTCCACTCTGGTGCTGGGGAGATAATAGGGAGTAGTGGGGACTGTGGCAAGCCAAGCCCACATCCTGTCCGAGGGGGTGGCTTCAGCTCTGTTCTAGGTGATGGATGCCATGTGGCCTGAATTGGAAATTGTCATATAATTTAATTAAGAACAAAAGCAGATGCGAACACCACACCCTGAAGCCTAGCAGAGCATGGACCTGGTAGTGTGGGGCTAGTGCTACCTGAGAGCTTGTGGTCTCGGCCCTGGGTCAGGCCCACTCTGTGGGGTGACCATGCTGAGATGGGTGTTTCCAGACAGCCTCAGGCCGGGCTTGTGGGATTGTCCATAGTCTGTGGATTTACCCTAGAATGCCCCAACCACTTCCTGGGTGGAGACGATGGGCCATGAGGGAGTGCCCCCATATACTGAAGCTGAGTGCTGGAGGCCTCTGGCATCATGGACATGTGACAGGTAGAATAGAGGCCGCATCGAGGTAAGAGGTAAGCTACCTGAAGGCTTGCAAATAGAAAGCCACTGAGCTCATTCTGATGAACTATTCGTGCTGACTTGCCGTTGAAAATGTACACAAGCTAGAACATTCAATGTGGAGGGAGAAGATGTCCATCCACCCAAATCCAGTCGCTGTGAATACAGTAATGTGTTCCTTTTCTAAATGCATAGATAAAACATGTTAAGAAGTGGTACTCCTCCAGCTTCATATCCTCTTTTTAACTTAGTTTACAACATTTTCCATGTTATGAAAATGGCATTTAAAATGATTAACAATAGACGACTAATATTTAAAATAGACATGCATTATTCCATCACTGTGTCCATGATCACACACATGTTTTGAGAGGGATGGTGTAACGTGGCAAAAATTCAGTTTCTAGAGTTTGATTACCTGCTTCTAATTCTCCCCCACAACCCGGGAACTCTAGACAATTCCCCTCAAGTCACCAAGGCTCCATTGACTCATCTGCAAAGCAGACGTAGCGACGGTAGCTACCTCACAACTGGGATGGAATGGGAGGATGGATTTCACATGACGATCTGAGCATCAGGCCTGGCACACTGAGCACCTGAAACAGATGTTCGCTATAATACTGAACTTAGGTCACACCTTCCTAGGGATGGACCTTGACATTGTTGCTGGTTCATCCTCTTTCAA